TACACGATTGAGATTTTATACTGCACTCCAACTCGTGGTTATCTTGTTCCAACTCTTCTACCGTACTCAATGTTTGGCTGTACTTCGATGATGTAGCTTCTAATTCTTGATTGACTTCATCATAAGACTGTTGGTGAAGTATCTTTTTATCTTCTATCGTTCGTTGGAGATTATCCAACTTAATTTGCAAATCACACATTTCTGCTTTCACCCGGTCATGCTTGGCCACCTTTGCTTCCAATATATTTTTCTGTCCCTCTGTTTGTTTTAAATAAGCTTCCAGCAGTAAAATATCCGCATTATCGCGTTCTGTTGAGTTAAAGTGTTGATCACGATTTAAATTTTGTGAATGATCCATTATGGTTGTCTAAAGTGTAATATTAAATATTAATAAAATACACAAATACGTTATGATATTATTATGATATCTCAACATGTACTTACATAGTAGTTAAAAATCTGCTTAAATATCTTCTTAATTAAAAATTATGAGTGTTGAAGAGTGTACTGAATTCCTCGATTACAAAATGTGATATTGTTATTAATTTGTATAGTTACAATGTCATAATATTTCTCTTAGTTACGAATTGGATGCTAAGCAATATTCAATCGTAGGTAGGTACAAATAAATATGTACATAGTTAATATTATGTAAAATACTTTGAAACACTTATATTTTTTTTATTTTTTGATAAAGTGGGGTTATTTTGATACCACATTAAGAAATGAAATTACAACAATTTGAAAAAACATTTATTAAGTTGTCAAAAAAATGCTACTTACTTATAGTCCGACTATACAAAATGAAATAATTGAAATATGTGGAAACATAATAACAAAAAAATTAGTCACTGACATAAACAAATCTGGTTGTTTTACAATTTTATGTGATGAAACTTTAGACGTTTCTGGAATAGAACAACTTTCTCTGTGCGCTAGGTATATAAATTTTAAAAACCAACTGCGTGAAGATTTCTTATGTTTTATTCCAGCCTATGATCTAACTGGAGAAAATTTGGCCAATTTAATTTTGGAAAAGTGTGAACTATTAGGTTTGAATATGAGTAATTTAGTTGGGCAAGGATATGACGGCGCAGGAAACATGAGTGGACAATTCAATGGGGTTCAGTCTAGAATACGGCAAAAATATCCAAAAGCAATGTTTGTACATTGCGCAGCTCATAGATTGTATTTAGCACTCTCGTCATCTTTATCAATATCAAGTGTAAGAAATAGCCTTGGCGTTTTAAAGGATGTTATAAATTTATAAGAAACAATGCCTTAGCCGGTCATACTCTTAAAAATAATACTTCAAAGTATGTTCCTGAATCTAAAAGAACTCGTTTGGTTGTTCTATGTGAAACGCGTTTTATAGAACGACACGATGCTATTAATGTTTTTGTTGAACTTCTTGAGCCAATTATAATCAGTCTTCAAGATATTCAAGAAACAAAAAGCTCGGTATCCTCAAGTGCATCTTCATTTTTAGCTGCAGTGGAAAAAAGTAGTTTTATTATTTCTTTGTTAGTTTGCGAACATCTTTTAAACTTTACGCTTCCGTTATCGCATTATCTACAAAATCCTGCACGCGACCTTTCATCTGCTATGAACTACTCTCACGACATTATAAATAAACTAAAACATTTAAGAAATAACTATATTGAAACATTCTCATCTATTTTTCAAGATGCTAATAAATTGAGAAAACTATATTTTGATTCAGAAATTGTATGTCCACGCATTATAAAAAACCAAAAACACAGAGATAATTATGATTGTAACACACCGGAAGAATACTATAGAACATCGATATTTGTACCATCGATAGATGGTTTCATTTTAAATTTGGAAAACCGTTTTAAACAAAACAATGTTGTTTTGTCATCAATTGAAATCCTATTGCCAAAATTTGCCTTAAATGAAAATGTTTCAAAACTTAAAAATTTAAACATATTTTACGAAGATCGTACATCTGAAAAAGTGGTTTGTTCTGAATTTTTATTATGGTGTGGAAAATGGGTAAATGTAGAAAAAAAACCCACTGAAATGATGGATATTTTGGATGCATGTGATGCAAAGTTTTACCCAAACATACATTTTTTATTGAAAATCTTGGCAACACTACCAGTTTCTACAACAGCAGTTGAACGCTCATTTTCAACACTAAAACGTTTAAAAACATTGCTTCGTAACAAAACTAGAAATGAGCGTTTAACGGGACTTGCTCTTCTGTCAATTCATTGGGAAGTGTCTATCTCTACAGACGAAGTGTTGGATGTAAAGGCTCAACAAAACAGAAAATTAATATTATAGACCTCACTACATCAGTTGAAAATTTTAAATAATAATAGATTGTATTTTGTATTGTATTGTAACTAAAATTAATAATAATTATATAAAAATTGAACTAACATTTATTTCGACCCCCCCCCCCCCCCAAATAAAATTCTGGCTACGTGCCTGGGCCGCATAGTAAAATTTGGGCCGTTATTATTTTTGGGCAAAAGTATTCTAGTATTTCTAGATAGACAGATAGTGATATAGTAAAATATAGATCCAAATACACGGTTAAAACAATAATTTCGTCAGCTGTATAAATATATAATACTGATGTATAGTGAATTGGTTATTTGATTCTCAAGAATAAAATTGTCAAACGATAATACAGCGTATCAGTATGTACCAAGTAAATAATAGTCGTGTGCTGAGTTCTGCCAGCATGTTTATAAAAATAAATATAATTCCAATTGACCGTATTATTGTATGGGTTTTCCCACAATTATCGTAATATCGTCCAACGACCAACGTAGGATCAATAATTCATGGAACTCACACATACTACGTACTCTTCTACACAACACGACAAGTTTACATTTTAGATTATTATTACTTATTAGTATTGACTTATTAGTTATTTGAAATAACTTGATAAATGATAATTCAGTTTTTTCTACATCTACTACACATTACACAGTCCTGAATAAAAAAGGTTAGGTACATGTTTTTTATGTGTATTGTGGTTTAGTGCGTCTTAATATTAAAATATTTTGTTCGCCGTACTAAATATATACTAATATACGACTATACTGATAGGTAATATAGGTACGCACTATAATATTTTTTATTTTTTGCAAATTGTGCAATATTCTCATTTACGTATTTGCAATAATTGCATTTAAAAAGTAGTTAAGACTGCGCTTGTCATGGATAAAGAAAAAAGAAATTAAAAGGTGGAGCTGAAAAGTTACGAATGAAACGGCATGCTGAACTAAAAGCTGCAGGGAGTGATCCCAAACAAACAAAAATATCATTTCTTAGACCTCCCCAAAAAGGTAAGTTTATTTAGTTAATTATTAATATGATTAATAAACTAGTCAATTAATTTATTATTTTAAATATGTCATACTTTATATTTATTTAAATAAATGCATAATATAGTAGCCAGTAGGTATAGTAAATAGTTTTTATTTTTTATTTATAAAATTATAATAATTTATTATTTTTTTTTCAATACAGTATGACAGCATGATTTCATCTTCATCTTCAGATTGCAATGAAATATGACAAATTATTGAGTTAAAGTCTCAAAATGCACAGATTCCTCAAATTCAAGAATCTCTTTTACCCACGGTTCGTATTTCGTATGAATACATTTAATTACATTTTTTGTTTTAGTAATGTAACTTACCTAATATTTTGTATTTATTTACTAAGGAATCAAAACTAGATAATTTATCAATATCAATTTTACTGGAATGTCATCAGGAAACAAAAAGTAGAAAATTGGTAGATGATGAAATGGAATCTGTATCCACTGGTAACTTGCCACTACTTGATAACTCATCGGTACAGTATAATAGTATAAATTAATTTAATATTTTATTTTGTTTCTTAATTTTAAGAAAATTAGTCTTTCAAATTGCTCTTACACTGAACAATTTATGTTGGGAGAACTTAACTTAGGAATTTATTGTTCTGTTTTAGATAACTGACACAGAAAATGAAATAGTTGTTTCAACAGAAATAATTGATATTAATATTTTTAAGAAACCTGAAGGTAAAAACCTACACAACTTTTTTAAATCTCATCCTATACAACCGTTTGAAAATATTTTATTCAACCCAAATAAAGTATACTACCGTGTACACAACAATGTTACATTTAAGATAGAGTGGTTAAGTTACTGTAAAGAAAATAATACATTGTTTTGTTCTTCCTGTTTGGCTTTTGTAAAAGAAGACAACCGCTTCACAGTAGGATGTTCCGCACTTTCAAGTACTAACCCATATACTCGAATTAAAGAACATGAAAAATCCGTTAGTCATAAAAATAGTAGTGAAGCATTTTTACTTTTTATAAACTCCAATGATATCCGATCAAGACTTGATACTGTCAGACGATTTGAAAATGAAAGAAGAAGATCAGTTTTGCAAAGACTTATTGATACAATCAAATTAATTGGAAAACGTGGACTCAGTTACAGGGGCGCAAAAAATGCAGAAGCTGCTTATACTTTAAATGATTTATCACTAGACCATGGAAATTTCTTAGAAATTATATTATTATTAGCAAAATATGACCCATTGTTAAAAGAACATGTAGACAAGGCAGTTATGCAAAGTCAGAAGTTGTATGAATCCAGAAAAGAAGCTGTACATGCTGGACGTCCTGGTAAATTTGTTACCTTTTTATCAAAAACTACTGCAGATTATGTTATAGATGCAATTAGTGTTTTATTAAAGAAAAACCTTTCAGAAATTATTAAGAAATCTGAATTTTTTAGTGTTCAAATTGATTGAACACAGGATATAAACGTTCATGACCAATTAGCTATTGTTGTTAGATTTGTTACAGATGACGTACAAGAACGTTTAATAGCATTAGTGAACTGTAAATGTGGTACTGGTAAAAATCTATGTGATCTATTATATAAAGTATTGGAAGATATGAACTTGGATGTTACAAAATGTGTTGGAAGTTCGACTGATGGTGCGAGAATATGCGTGGACAGTATAATGGTTTTTCAGCATGGCTAAATAAAGTAAGTCCAGACCAAATCTATGTATGGTGCTATGCTCATGTGCTCAATCTGGTAATGATTGATACATCTAACGTTACTTGTGAAAGTACTTCTTTATTCGGTTTATTAAACTCTATTGCAGTGTTTGTTAGAGAATCGTACCTTCGAATAAATAAGTGGGAGGAGAATAGTAAATATAAGTTTATTTCAAATATTGGTGATACACGTTGGTGGTCTAAAGATAGGTGTTTGACAAAAGTTTTTGGATTATATTCATTTCCTAAAGAGGCTTTGTTTGTAGATATTATACAGACTCTTAATGACATTTATTTGAGTGATAAATGTAATCAAGAAATAAGATTTAAAGCTCAAATGTATAGAGATTCACTTCTTAAGTATGAAACTGTATTGAAAACTCTCAATCCGGCTCTGTGCCACTATATAATTCGACGTATCTACACACTGTTTAAACTTTAATTGTAATTTATTCAATGATCTGACCGTTATTATTATTATTACATTATTATTATGTATGTTTGAATAATACATTTATTTAAATCAAGCCAAAAAATTGTATTTACGTTAAGCAATATACCAAGGTTTTAAGGACAAAATAATATGTCTACAATAATATAATGCAATATTTATTGAATCAAAAACAAAACAAAAAAAACAGTATATATCAGTTGTGCGTTGGAACGAAGACCAACTGACATTTCGTGAACTCGAATTTTAAAGTGTACACACCGAATTTACGTACAAATCGAATATTCAAGGGTTTTGAAATAAATAAACTAAACGAATAGAGCACAAACGGCGATTGAAAAGACGAAATTAATCGAGAAAGATAAAAACAGCAATAATAACGACCGACGCTGGCGTCAATTGCGATGGCTGTGGACCACACATCGGCGGTTTTTAAAACAAACAAACTGCATGAGAAAACCGACGAAAAACTGTGTGAAAAGCGTAACATTTTTCGAAAAACATTTTATTTTTGAAAAATTTGAAAACCGCGGCCGCCGCGTCGAAGGTACGCGATTGGACGCGCTAAGTAATTGACGGGAATGGGTAGGGCGAACTGTAGGTGTTTAATTTTTTACGCCACTGTTTCACTATAGCCGGAGTTTTCCGTTCCATATTTTCACTAAAGACAGCAGTTCTTGTAGTCAGCTGTTCTTCATTTTATAGTATTAGCAGATTAGATAGATAGATTACAAATAATGTAAATCAGTCGTTCATATATTAATATTAATATTTAAAAGCAAAAAGTATAAAATGTTTCAATCACAAAGTATAATGTATATTATTTAATAGAGAGTCATAATAGTAGTTATATGTGTTTGTTAAGTTATCAACCATAAGATACCTTACAGGTACTGCAAAACCATAAATATTTTTTTTTTTCATGTTGTATGTTGTTTTAACATTGACACACTTGAAACCACTTTAAGCATCTATTGCAACCAATTGAGTTATTTGATAAATTCTCATTGCAAGATTTACATATCCATGTTGGATTTATCCGCTTTATCACCACAACTTGTTGGTGAGCACCCCGGCTATCACTGTCAAAATGCCTTTTTATGTCATCAATCGCAAAGTAACTGTCTAAGACAGCACAATGTGTGTTATTCGGATTATTTTAAATTGCTGTTTCACTTATTAATCCATTTCCAGAAACCGCTATACTGGCCACATTCTTATCCACAAACCAAATGAACATTTCAAAATGTCTAGTTTGTACATACAGTTTTTCAAAAGGAATTAAACCTGAAACCTTATTCCGTTTTGCAATACTAATGGCATTTTTGTCTTTACCTAAAATATAAAGTATGAAAATAAATTTCATCAAGGATAATTATTTGAAAATATATGGAATATATTACAATCACCCTTTTGGATGTCCTCTTTTTGAAACTCTTGGAGGTAGAGTTAGTAACTGATTTAGTATTGAAATATTATCTATATCTTCTTCAATAATGTGTAATATTTCTTCATCCATGTGTAATATATCGTCATTTGTAAATTCATCATTTTCTTCGGTTTGTTTCAGTAAGTTATCTAGTGTCCTAATGATTGGATCCTTTGCCCCCTTATGAAGGTGATAACTGATGCAATTCCCCATTCATCTTGCAGTTATTTGTTATATTTTTTTTCCATGTTGCACTGATGCTATCATAAGTTGGTCCACATATTGTCCTCCAAATTCTATTTTCAAAAGTCCTAAGCCTTCTTTCTGTTGTACTGGTAGTAGTAGTAGTCCAAGCTTCACAACCATAGGTGAGCGTCGGTCTTATTATTGCCGGATATAATCTTGTTTTGGTGTTCTTTAAAAATAATTTTGATTTTAAGAACTTACTTAAGGCAAATGCCGTGAACGCGAGCCGATTTGTTCGGCTCGCGTTTGTTGTGCGTCATCGTGAATTCATGATAATCACCAAGTTGATGTTCGTATGACAGTATGGACACGAGTGTCATTGCGATTGCATGTGTTATTATTATTATTCTAATTATTAATTTTCATTTAAATTTTTCGAAATGGAATGGAACAATTAATCGTGCCTAAATTGTATTCAACAATATCAACTCCACCCTGTGTTATGGAACCCAAAACACAATTATCATTTTTTCAAGACAAAAAAAAACGGTGCGTGGGAAATTTATTACTTTTATATTTTTTATTTATTTATATTTGACATAAACTTACTTCAAACCCTCAATTATTTTATATCTTACCTTTATATATACATTTAGGACTTCTACGAGAGCTCGACCCACTTCCGGTATAATACATGATATCAGTTGCTTGGAAATTAAAAATGTGTACTGCAAACTAGTGAAAGAGTCTCCTGTAGCCAGAAAACGCAACGTTACAGCTAACTGTTTTTCAATTGATACAGCTTATCTCAATTGAGTATATTGTTTCATAATTTTCTAACCAACTTTGCCAAGTAAAAATTCAAAATCTTCAGATTCCGTGCGTACAAAATTTTTAAATTGTCCAGTGGTCTCATCAAATCGTAAATGAATCATTAAAGTAGGTTGATATTCGCGTTGTCGAAATAAATGTGTCCACCATCTTCTACTTTTTTTACTTGATTTTTTTTTTTTTAAATTGAGTGAATAATTAAATACGCCGCATTTTTCATTTTTAGTTTATGTTCGACTTGATTTCAAAAAACGTGTGTAAAACACAGTGACAATAGTAAATAAATGGGTAGACAATGAATAATAATATTTTAACAATTTAACACAACATACACCGTATACGTTCACCAAACAACTGAATATCCGGAGGCATAAGCTCAGATTTATTTCACATACAAGCTTGTTGTTATTTGATAACGTCCATACTGAGCACATACGACTAACAAAATGAGCACACATGCTCGGTCTGTGCGTGCTCTAGTGTGTACGCAGCCTAACCTGCTGAGTTCTATCGGTAGACACAAAATAATCCTGCTGGTTAGTGTTATCAGTAGGGCTCGGATGTTGTTGCACTAAAAATGTTATAAAATTGATTGCATTATTGCTGTGAAAAAAACCCAAAATCGCACTTAAAAATTGCAATAAAAAAATATTTTGTACCAAAAAAATTAAAAAAATATATTAAAAAATTATTTTATGAAATGGATTAAGTCATTTTATTAAGTAATATTAAAAAGTTTTATTAGGTAGGTTTTAAACGAGTAGATAATAAAAAAGATTTCAAATTCTCGTCAGTTGTCATTAAAAATCTGGTAAATTGTCCGGTCTTCTTATTTTTTCAGAAACCTATAAATAATTTTATCAAAATTTAAAACTTTTTATTTAAACTATTTTATTTTTTTTTTAAAAAACTTTACCTTACCTCAAACCTGTATAATCTAACAAAAAAAAGTGAAAACACAAAAAAATACATAAAATTGTATTGAAAATGACGACAATCAACAAAATTGCAATAAAATTGAAAAAAGATCAAAAATTGCAAAAAGTTGCACTTAAATTTTTTATATATTAATTGGTACTCGTTTGAAACAAATTTATAACCTACTTAGCAACGAATCCGAACAATAGAAAAAAAGTTGCAAATGCAACAACATCCGAGCCCTACTTATCAGACACTTAACCAAACATTGTAAAAAGAGCCCTTTATTTAGTCAATAGAACAAATTATTAATATATTATTATAATAATATTATATTAGTTAGTTACTTTTAAAATATAATTATACCAGATAATATATCATGATTACCATTTACCATTAATATCGTTAACAGCTATTGAACTATTTAAATCTGAAATAATTATATCAGATCCTTTGAATTCATTTTCCATGTCAACTACATGAATATTTTCAATTTCTGTTAAAATTTGCTCATCTGTAATTATAAATAATTTTAAATTTGATTTAACATAAATTGCTATTCATAAGCCATTTTAATTCAATCTATTTGTAATGACGTATGCCGTACAACCGTCATAGGCGTAGAATGGTGGGGGCTAAGGGGGCTATAGCCCCCCAGATTTTTGTTTAGCCCCTTGTGTAAAAGTTTACTGTTTTATACGTGCATATGCGAGAACGGAAAATAATTTGTTCCTTTACATTTTTTTATATTTAAATTTGTAGAATATATGTTCTATAACTGAATCATTATAGCCTTTATGTGAGGTGATTTCCAAGAAAATGCGGCAGCGTCGTTGATACCAAAAAAAAAAGACTATAGCCCCCCCCCCCCCAAAAAAAAAATCATCACACTATGACGATCTTAGTACACATGGGTGGAAATCCATTAACATTTCAGGGGGGCAACATTATTAACATCAATGTGAGGGGGGCTTCGATCCTACAAAACTAAAAAAGCGGGGGCTTAACGGACCTTTTGGGGGGGCTAATCCCCCTCAAGCCCCCCACCACCCTGATTTACCCTGATTTACACCAATGACTATACAGTATTTAATATGACGAATGCAAAACATGCTAATTTTAAATTTTTAATCATATTTTTTAAACAACGTTTTGTTTAAAATATGATTAGGAATTAGCATGTTTTTCAGATTCAACAGTAGTTACCTGTAATATAGGTAATAGGTAGGTCCTTTAGAATTATAGAACCTATACCATTTATAGTTATAAATTAGTTATAAAGTGTAAATATCTATTATTTATAGCTAGTTAAAATAGGAAGGTGGTCAAAAATTTAAATTCTACAAATAAATTATGTATCACAATTATATCATATTGACATAATATTGAGTACTTACCAGGTTTTTTTCTTTGTACCAGATGACACGCGATGATAACGGTGGTGTGTTGGCGTGTAATGCACTAATGCTCTCCACTCTAGGTCTGTCGCTGTGTGTGTGTGTGGATTGAAGGATGTGGGTGACACTCACGATATTAAAAAAAAAACAACGCAACAACGGAATGTTAGTTTAAGTGTGCGGGGGTACGTTTATTCGGGTGAACACAGACGTAGTTGTTTTACAACGGT